AAATATTAAGGGCTTATTTATATTAACTAGATTTGTGAATAATGATGGAAGTGTCAATTTATATTCAGAACAAGTTCAATTCTTCTTTATACATTCGGTAAACTTTCTGAATAATATTATTAAATATCATTTAGCCTTTATTCAGTAGTACAAATCAGTTAATTTAATAGAAAATAGATTTTATTTCAGATCTGAAAATGATGCAAATGTTGAATTGTGGAGTATCAAATTTTACCCAGTTAAACATGAATGCATAATCCCTATTTATAATATTTTTACCAATTTATTCCATTTAGATATAGAACCTCAAATCAGCAAGACTCTTGCTGTAATTTCTCTAAATTGTAAATATAATATATAATTAAAAATTCAGTAAATGTACAAATTTTAATGAATGTCTAATAATTTTTTGAGAAAAAATTTAATGAAATATATAGTAAAAATGATACAAATATGACAAATAATACTGAATTATATAGTAAAAATTGATTAACGATTTAAATTATATGCCAAATTATATAGTAGAAATTGATTGATGATTTATTTATATCAAATTATATGCCGAATTATATATTAGAAATAGATTGATGATTTATTTATGTTATTAATATGTTGAATTATTTGTTTTTTTGATAAATGTTACATGAGTGGCATTATGTGAATAAATATTTTTTGACTAGTGATAGGTAAAAATATTAGATATTATTAAAAAAAGAATTGGATCTAAAACTGGTCAAGGTCAAGATATACTCTAATAACCTATATAATAAAGAAGCAGATACTTTAGCAAAGGAACTTTAATGCTTCCTATAATTGAATGGAAAAATCTTACTTTATTCAAAATCATTACCAAAATCAAATAATATAAAATAACTTTAAATAATTCCATAAGACAATTTATTAAAAATATAAATAACAAAGTTGCAGCTCATCAATAGACAAAACAAAATAGAATTTTGAATAAATGAAATCAACAAATTTAAGATTAATATGATTATATATGGGATTTGATATAGAAAAAGATAAAGAATGAACATATTTGAAACATCTCCTTTAAAGATTCTCAAAAAAGAAGTTTTCTTATCAAATTAATCAATAAAGAGTTACCAATACTTCCCAAACTGGCTATAATAAAACTAGATCTATATAAACAAGTAAAGTGTATAGTATACAAACAACAAACAAAACCAATAAAACACCTATTAGAATGTCTAGTATATAAAATTCAATAGTATAAAATATGGAACAACAAAATGAAAGGTATTCTAAAAGACTTTTGAAAATTTCTGCATGAGAGAAGAAAAGAAATAAAAGAAAAAGAAATAAGATTTCTAGTTGAAAACAAAGTAAAATTAGGAAAATTGTACAAATATATAGTCAAACTTATAGAAGAGACTACAGAAATAGGTCAAATATACTAAACTTTTATATGGGACTAATATGAAGTGATCAGATATTGAAAATATTAAATTTAAAATGTTGTTAGAAAAGAATAAATAAAAAAGTCTGAAAGTGAATATAAAGATACAAAAGAAGATTTATAATCAATTCTAAAAGAAGATCTGAAATAAAAAGTACTTAAGAATAATTGAGTGGGAATAAGTACAAGAGATTTATAGATAAAATAAAATAAAAAAATCAATCGGTCCTTTAAATCAGAATAACAAGATTATAATTATGAAAGAGTTCTTATAGGAAGGAGAAAAACTTGAAGATGATAATCTGAAACAAATTTTTCTAAAAGGAGTAAAATATAGAATAAGATGGTTAGGGTTTTAACTTCTATCAGAACTTATAAAAAAAATTTGCAATAATGATTTGCAGGTAATGAAATTAGTAATTGAAAGGATTTTTATCTGAGCCACTAATAGAGTAATAAATTATTCCTGAAGTTATATTTAAAGTAATAATAATTAAGATAAATGAATCAATTAGAAATTTAGCTTTAGCAATTCATTTTACATGTATAGTATACTAATATTTAATAAAACATACATAATTAGTTTGATAAAAAGTAAAAAAAAAATATATATATAACAATAATAATATTTATAATTTCTATAATTTATTTTATATATATTTTTTATTAAAGTTAATAAATATAATTAAATCTTTATTTCAAAAAAAAAATATTTTTAAAGATCTTTTTACTTTTAAAGCAAGTTGTTTATATAAATGTTTTATAATAAAAGAATTTATTTTTTTTATTAATTATTTTAATTTTTTTAAAGTTTTAATTTTTATCATTTTTTAAAAAATTTTATTTACTTGAATTAAACTTTAAATTTTTTAATACAATTTTTACTAAAAATAATTAATTAATATAAAATGTACTAATTTTTAAAATATAAACAAGTTTTTATTAATTACAATTATATATTTTAATAATATTATTTATTATAAAAAAATTCAATAAAATATTTTTTTATTCTAATTAGAAAGCAAATTAAAATTAACAATAAATAAATAGGTTTTAGTTTTAGTTAAAATTTATATAAATAGTTTATAATAATAATTTATAAATAATAATATTTACAATTGAAAAAATATTTATATAAATTATAAGTAGAGTGACAAATTACTTTTTAAGTTATATTAAGAATTATAGATATATGAATTAGTTATAAATTTAACTTTAATATCATATATTTTTAATATATATATATAATTTATTTTTTTATTTAATAAAGTATATATAATTAACTTGACAAAAGATTAAAATTAAATAAATTAATCTATATTTAAAATTTTTATTATTTTATATCATAATAAAATTTTAAAAATTTTAATTTCAATTATTTTAAAATTTGTAATTTTTATATATATTTTATTAATAAAAATTGATAAATAATACAATACTTTTATAAACTATTGTTTATAATTATTAAAATAAAAATTTTTGATTACAAGAAATTTTAATAATAAAAAAAAAAAAAAAATAAATATATGATAACTTTGTAAAATATATTAATACTATTTTTTAATATTTTTATTTTTATTAATTATATAAAGTCCTAATGACATGTCATGTTGATCTGATTGTGGGTTAAAAAATATATTTTAATTATATAATTTCCAAAAAAAAAAAATATTTAACTGTTCGAACATATTAAATTTTAATCTTTATTTTTTTTTGAATAAATCTTTAAATTCTTTTACATTGTATACTGGGCATAGAAAAAAAATATACGACATTATGTACGATATTTATAAAAATGCTATATATATATATACATATATAAAGAATAGGAGAAAAGGGCACGGTTGGTCATATCCCATCCTACTTCCTAAACTATCTCTCGACACGGTTTTTTTATTGTAAATGGAAAATGGAAAAGAAAAACGAAAATCTCGGGTGCACAAAATTAAAAGTTCGCGGCTCGTAATATAAAATCGACGTCCCAGTAAATTTTGTCAAGCTATCAGGAATCTCGGGTATCTCTCTTCCGATTAACGCAATTACGATTACGACAAGGACCTCCTCCAACCAAGGTCGCAATAACGGATTGAATAATAGAGTCAGTCTGACTTTAGGGTCCGTCTCACCAGGAAGACACACACAAATACTTCATCACTCGGAAGTGAGAACGCGCTTTGCTCTTCGAATATTTCCTGTTCGTGAACGACCGGGTTTTTTTTTCGGAGGGGGGCTTTACGAGGAGAATAAAGTGACTTCAGATGATATCCATTTGCGATGATAACCAATACGATAAATATTATAGACATCATCCAGAGACCATGTGAGGGTTAACCAACACCGCATTCTTTATTCAACGCAAAGACCCACGGTCCCCTAAAACGGCTTTTTTATTTACCAGCTGGTAAAAAAAAAAAAAAGATAAACACCTTTTTTTTTAAACAAAAAAAAAAAAAAAAAAAGAAAAACAAGAGACAAAAGTTACTTGTTGTTGATGATATATTTTTCAAAATGACTTTTAACGCAAGTACACAAGAGTGATTAAAACCGTGCGAGAGATAGGAGGGCAACCTTCACGTAAAATGGGATGAATAAACGCCGAAGTTTAGAATGGGGCGAACACTGGGGTCTTTTATATTGTGAATTTCCGGAAGCCGGGAAAAAAATTTTTATTTTGACTATTTTCAGCCCAATTACATGATATAATAAAGATAACCTGTTTTTGTTCTAAGCCTTTGTTCACGAAATTCTCCGTCAACCCCGCATAATACTATACTCAACAAAGCAGTAGGTCACGTACTTATTTCCCTAATTTAGAATCTCTCCATGCGATCAAATCATATATTGTTAGCTCAATATGACGGATTCCAGTTAATAAAAAAAAAAAAAAAAAAAAAAAGTGCACATGTATGAGTTTTTTTTTTTTCTTAAATGATTTTAACTATTGCAAGAAGGTCCAAATTATAAAGTGCTGAAATAATGGTTATAAGAAGGAAAGTACGTACGTGCGTACTTTACGCACCTACGAATCTACCTATAAATTAGATCTTTATCATCTCAGCCCAAAGTGGTGAACGATAAGGCAATTTGACCAAATCGATCAATGATGCGATAATAATTTATACTTTTATGGATTAAGGAAAATTTTACAATATAATTTCCTTTTTTTTTTTAAGGAGAAGGTCCAGATATATTGATGTGAAGATAACAATGATCATTTTTGTGCGTCAATTATTAAAAAAAAAAAAAAAATTTTTTTAAAGCAATTAAACACGCTAGCATTGACATATAGAAAGGTTGAATGGGGCTTCTAGCCTTCGCCATAAAACAATTAAGTGCGTTATAACTATTTATCAGTAGTTTAATCCAAAGATATGTACGCTCTTCCTAAAAATAAGTACTGAGACAGTTCCAGACACAGTTCCAGACACCTACTATTTGATCTTTAGATAACAATCACCGTGTAATCATGTGATGTGATTTGATTGGTCGTTGTGGAAAAAATATTGATTGGTCGAATTTATAGTGACACGGCAGCTTCGACTTGAGTGAAGTCGCGAATGCGAAAAGTCTCGACCAAGGAATGACGGCGATCAAGAATCCATCGCACATTAACGATCAGCTCCTCAATGAAAATGATCCGATCCATGTTGCGTCAACATTTAAGTTTCTCGAACGAGGCGGGGATATTTCACAAAATGCAAAGTTGGTAAGCGAATAAGGAAATATTTATCATTCGTGAAGACGTGCAGCAATTACCATCTGAAAAATTATTTTTAATATCTTAGGCTTACTCCAAATTCTTGCCTTACATACTGTTAAACTACAATTGCCAAACTTCACCTTTCCTCTCAAGATATTCACAGGTATTCCTCTCGCTAATTTTAATGTGTCTGAAATTATTCTCATTCAGTTTATTTGCTCTTTAATTAAATATTTATGAAACCTCTTCTTGCCAGTCTACTTGCTCTTAATTAAATGTTTGTGAATTTACAGTTCGATAGGATTTGTAGTTTCGCAGCAATTGGTCAAGATGAAGTGAAAAATGGAATTAAAGATAATATGTACCCAAAGCCACCAATAACATCGGCAATGGTAATTTTCGATTCTTCAACTTTTTCTGAATTAAACTTTGGTGCATATTTTTATTATATAACAAAACCTTCTCGTCAGGATATTGACACCGGTTATCCACCGATAAATAATGGGGATCCTAAAATGATGTCGAGGTGGTGAATTGAAAGTTAGAATGTTCTTCAATTTTAATAATCTTACTAATTATTCCCTATTCAGACTAGTCTTACAAGACATTCACGATCTTACGAAGTCGGCCAAGTTATTTTACAGCAAAAGTCAAAATACGGTTGAGAAATATTGCGATTTTCTCGTTCAAAATCGGCTCCACTTTCAATATCTGAGACGTATCGATGGGACATCAAATCTGGAATATTTTTTACCAATCATGTTATATAAATGGGATCTGAGATCTTTGGGTATTGATTATGAGGTAATTTTCAATGATTCTCCTTTTTTTTTTTTTGTTTTTGTTTTTTTCTTCATTATGGTGTTGAAACACAATTCGGCGTGTTCGTTAGGATTTTTTACGTGCTTTATTACTTATTGAAAACGGTCCCTCGATCATAAAATTTATGGTCATCAATAATCCACCTATCTTTGATAAGGTTTGACCATTTGCTTATGCGAAGAAAATGAAATCTTTCGAACGCTTATGTTAATGTAATCCAATTTAACATTCAAAATTCAGATTGTTAAAATTTTAGTTAAGGTTCATAATAATCTTTCGCCCAGATACAAAGGTCGTCTAAAAGAAGCTCTGAAAAAAATGATTAAATTAGCGCCACATCATGCATACTTCATGCGGATGATTCTGACCGATTTGAAGATTTTACCAGAGCTTGCCTTTGAACTGACGCTTGACATATGCAAGGATATTGTAAGTCTTTGATCTTCGTTCTCAATTAATCAGTTCTCGAAATCACAAACTTTTTAAAACATTCATTCATTCTGATACGAAAAACCCGCTCCGCTTAATATAGCCGCTATATTGCGAGGGCATTTTTACGCGTAACACAAAGTGGTTGACCGACACCGCGTTCAAAAAGGAAATAATAGATGTTGTGCATTCTAGATTAATGATGGCCTTGAATAATGAACTAGTAATCATAAAGAGAAGATCCTGTTGATTTTACTTGAACCAAACGACAAACGATAATAATTGTTGCTTTTTAGGAGAAACCTAACATGCCGCCAACGAATCACCGTACGAGATTGTGCATTCTCATTCGCCTTGTTTGTGGATTTGTCAGCATATTTAAACGGCGACTGGATCCGGAGGAAATCAAGGAATGCTTCAAAGTGGTGCATGCCGCAGAATCCGACAGGTATTATCGTCGATGACCTCTTTATGAAAATTCAGTGAAATCTTAACCTTTGTTCTCCTTTCACCATGTAAGACTTAAAAAGATATGCTTGAGCTTTATATTATTCTTCGCAGAATCGATTGCAGAAACTGATCGGGTAATTTTCTGAAATGTAATTGATGAGACTGATGATAATCATTAAAAAACTTTATTTACATTTAATTAATGGCTATTGCAGCTTCACCTATTCTCCTTAATTGTCAACCCTACCAATACGCAATTGTATTTACTGTTTGCATACTTCTTTAACACCAACAAGTTCGATTATATCGAGAAGCTGTGTCGCGAAATTTTAACCTTGGATGTTGTGATATCCGCCAAGGTTTTGAAAGAGTTGCAATATTCGACGAGAGGATTATTTCAAGATAAAATTTTAGCCAGGTCGGCACTGGAGATAGATCCAAGTGCAACCTTTTCTGGTTTAGAGGTAGAGGTTGAGGTTATTATTACTTTACGCCCTTTCATTATCCAAATAATTACCTTCTTTTTTTTCCTACATAGTTGTTCAGAGCACCACAAGATTTCGCATTTAAATGTTTTTATGTTATGCTCAAAGGAGGTGTGTTTCACAAAGGCGGTGTTGACATCCAACCCTGGATATTAAAACAGATTTGTCATGCCCAAACTCCAATACACGCTCAATTTGTCGCTCTATTGAAGGCATATATATATAGGTATCTCACAAATGAATCTTTTTGATCTCATCATCAACTCTATTTAATAGCTGATTTCATTATTATAGCATTTTCCTCGATCACAATGTTTACCCAAATGTCTATCCCACCCCAATAGCCAAAATTCCAGAAAGCGAAATGTTCAATATGTTTATTGATTGCATTTCTAATGTCACGCCATCACATATTCTTATGTGTTACTATATTTTGACATTTAATTCCGTATGCCTGGAGAGAAAGTTAACAAACCCGTCAGCAGATCCTAAAAAATCATGTACGATATTATGTTCTTCGCATTTTACGCATGCATACCTTACACATTACTCTAAACTTTACTCCTCACAGTATACTCCTGTAACCTCACCGAATTAATACCTGCACGAAAAATTCTGTTTTTAACTGAGAGAAGCGGGAACGGTGATGATTACAAACATATATATCCGGAACTTCTTGGTCTTATATCAGCTAATTATCCGGAAATTTTCGATATCGAAAGTTTACTAGTTGATGAGGATCACGAGATAAGGTGTGTAATTTAAACTTCCTTAAGCCATATCTGGCCTCGTTCGTATCATAATTTTTTTTTATCTGCAATAAACAGAACTTATAACAATAACCTTGAAGAGATTGCCGAACAACTCATCTTGTCAGTAAGCACCGGGCTCGATGACGACTCCGAAGAATCAGCTTTAGGTAAGTATTTTAGGTTTTCTTGTTTACATTCCTGTCCGCACACATTCACGCATTGTTTTAGCGATGAAACGGCTGGCAGCTCTTCCATCCGAGGTCTTATATGCACACTCGGACACTCTAATAATATTTTTACTACCAAGACTTTTGGATAGGTACGTATTAAGATTCTTCGGACGGTGAGTCTTCATATGTTTTCTCACACCTCGGAATTATACCCACCACTCTTACCAGGATGGATTTTGAAATATTGAATTATATGAGTGAAGTATGGCTCCTATTGTATAACATAAGTCCGCATGAAGCTTCGCTTTTATTTGTGAATGGATTACGCGGAGAACAAGATCGAAGATATCGGTAGCTACTTTTTATAAATTGTAATATTCTGTCACTTCACACGAATCTTCTTGATATTCTACTAATTATCTCTGCAGATTTCCCGAGCTGCAAATTATGCTTGATCCATCGTTGGTGTTTCGGATTGATGGTCGGGTGTTTAGGTGCCCTCCGTTGTACAAAATATTTTTACGGGTAAATGTTCAAAGACGCTTTCGAAGCAAGATGTGATATTGACTTTTATGTTTTTCGTGCAGGTATTAAAATTCTATATGGTGGGGTCGCGACAGAGGTTGCTTCGTATTTATCAAGAGAATTCTAACAAGGTAAATATTTTGCTGTTATAGCGTGACTGCGCAACGGTTTACTGAAATAAATGTGATAGGAGGAAATCACCCAAATAAATCTTCCTCTGACGATTATGGAACAAGAGACTTTGTTGTTATCAACTGTGCTGGAAATCTGCATTTCTGGACCAAAGGATGATGAAAAAGAAGGTATTTCACGGTTAATAGCAGAGTTAACAAAATCCAAAATAACCAATTAATGTTTGTTATTCTCCAAGAAATCTTGGATCAAATTCGAAATTTGTCGTTCCGTTTTCTCCACCAAATATTTATCGAAAATAGTGAATCATTAAAGAATCTGCATTTTTGGGGCTACTCGAAAGAGTTGGTTCCGTTAACCACCAGTAGAATAGAATCCATGCGTAAGTTCCACAAAAAAAAACAAAAAAAAAAAACTGACTTCTCTACAATACGCACTTCTTTCTAATATGTGATGTTATTTATGTATAGACACGTGCATGAACTGGGTTCATGAACTTATAAACCACGAAGACCCCGAAAAACAAATGTTCGGTCTACGCCTGGCAGGTCAATTATGCGAAGTTTGGCCTATGTCAACTACGTAAAGATTGAATTTATCATCTCATGTTTACATTCATTGATTTGTATTGTTTCTCACACTTACATGCGAGAATTTTATTAGATTTTCGATAGCGAAAAATTTCATGCTTCCGGCGATTAAACGCAAGATTATGAATCCTTCCTCCAAGGTTCTGTCTCCCGAGGCAGCAGAAGTTTTACCAATACTAGTGAAATTACATAACATTTTTGAACATTTGAGAACGGATGTGGTCGACCTGTTGCGAGGTAAATTTTGAAACGTGCGTATCACATCATATTTCGAATTAATATTAATGTGTTATATTTAGATCTTGAGGAAAGATTAATGTCTCGAAACCAATATAAAACGACTTATGGATATAAGCGACGATCGCGAGAGATCATATCACAATGCCTACGAGATATAAATGAAGTACCACGAAATAATGATATCTTAAAAGTCAGAGAGATTCGACCAGCCTAACCTGAATTCATTTGAATTGAATGTAATTTCGTTAGATGCCTACTAGGTATCTATTTCAAAACTAATTATTTCGGATATTTAAAAATATACAAAATAGATTTTCTTTTTTTTTTAAAAAAAAAAAAAATTTAAAACGTAACCGAAAAGTACCTATTTTACCAGTAATGTATACACGATCAATAAAATGCTAAATATAACGGGACTTGTTATTTCGTACTATAATAAAAAAAATTTTTTTTATCATTTACCATGTATATTTATTTTTAAACAACAAGATATAATTTGTTATACATTTACAGCTATAAAATTTTTAATTCCTTTTTTTTTTTGCACATAATCCATAACCAGGTCAATGGTGAGTTTACTGTATTAATCAATTAAATGCATAAGCACATATTCAACAGCATCTTACATATTACAGTTAGACTTTTATTTTTATAATTGATATTAAAGTTTTTAAGTTTGACCTTGAAAACAATTATTATTCTATAATGGATTTTGAATTAAGACTTTTCTAATTTATGTTTTATCAAGTTGCTAGATAATAACAAATTATACAAGAGCATGGTGTTATAGATTGAACTGTAAATTATAAAATATAAATTTGCAATATATTATATATGTAATAATTATATTGCAAGAATTTAAAGTTTTGAAATATATATATATATTTTTTTTTAACCCGCAATCATGCCACAATGGCATGTCTTTATTGAAAAATTGAAAATGAATTTACAATATTTTA